GCAGCATAATATTATAACAGCCCTCCTTCTGTACATCCGCTTATCAATGAATAAGCATGCTTCGAAGTAAAGCAATTCAAGACAAAGATTTTGTTTTCTTGCTCAGTAAAAAAAAAAAAAAAAAAAAAAAAAAAAAAAAAAAAAAAAAAAAAAAAAAACCACCCTGCCTTTTTATCATTTGCCTGACACTAATACATACCAAGTCCACATTTGTTTTGTCCACCGTCTTTGAACAAAGTCTGTTCTAGTTTAATCCATCAGGATTTTTCCAAAGGTCATTTTTTCTTACGCAGCGTTAAAGTCTCCGTATTTACGTATGAATAAGGATCTCGCATTCTCATTAACTTCCTTCGTTATTTTTCATGGTCACCGAATTTTTGGTCGGTTCTTTCTTATCGCTTTCTTGATTAGCGTTATGGTTAATTTTTCTTATGCAGCGTTAAAGTCTCCATATTCGTGTATGAATGAGGCTCCTGCATTCTTGTTAAGTGCCTTAAAGGAATATACTTCGTTGGCGATGTAAATTTCTGTGATTGTCGTCATCCATTGTAGCGGAGATGCAACATTATTTGATAAGAAACGGTTAATCGACTTAATTGCTTATTCTTATGTCCTGATATGCATTGAATTTGACGTCAGAATGCATACTGTCCCAAACCTTCCTGGCTCAGAAAATGACACGCGCGGTCTTTTCTCGAAATTATGAAATCCATTCCATCAAAACCATCGAAGTGGCGCGGTTCGGCAGTCAGCCTTCAAAACTATTCCAAAAATGCGTTTTCCGGCGGATCTCAGCGGTCGGCCCCGCGGTTGGTCGCGACTAAATGAGTCCTCGATGTTATCAGGTCCCAAAACGAAACGAGTATAGTCTTGATGAACCGGGCTATCATTTGTAACCAGATATTCAAGACCTCACGCCGTTAACCTGAACTTAGGGTATGCGTAGAATTGTAAACACATGTTGCTCATCGCTATGTACTGAACGTATTTAATTGAATATCATAAAGTATCCTACAATAATCTCAGCGCAAAATTCGGCAGTTTCAGTCTCGAACATTTCAATACGCAATCATGTTATAAAAATAAATTCGTCCTTAGATCTGAAAAGATTTCAGTAAAATTCGGATCTGAATTTTCCTTTGTTAATTTTTCACGTAGAATTCAAAAGAGAGGTTCAGATTTTCACACAATGAGCTACCTTAGTTTCGTGTGATTAGGGCGTAACAGTAACAGCTCTTTTTGTGCACGTCACAGAATCGTGTTTCGATGAATGCATTTTATATTGAAATAAAAGTAGCGAGCTCAGCGTAACCGCGAAGTTTGCACGTTCATTGTCATGAGAGAAACAGCCCTTTGGAATAATAGTGGCAAGGCACAAGGTTTCAGAGCACCATCTCCTGCGCTAGAGCTTCTTTTCGGCTTGATCAATGAAACACCGAAGCAACCAGTACAAATTCTGCTCTTCTGTAAATGGGAGAGCTTGCGCCACTTTTAAGAATTTTCCAGGTCCCGAACTTCGACACTCCTGTGTCACGCCGGACCACTTTTTCGATAAATAATCGATTGTTTTCGATACACGGGGACCCGGCCATTGGCTGCAAACAAAGAGTATACGAATTATTTTGTATTCAACATCGCCATTTGGAATTGAAAATGTATCGAAAAAGTGACCGAAGCTCGGCGCACCTCGAACTCGGAACTTTTCGACCAGAACATGACGCCAGCTCTCCCATTTAAATTACGACTCTACGTACATGTGATTTTTGAGCCTTTTCCCATACGAAACGAACTCATCTTCTTGCTGTAGCTGAAGTTGGAGTCCCTTTATAGAGAGAGTTGAGACAACGCTCCCTATGGATGTCACGAACGGGAATAAACATTACACATATCGGACTTTTTTGTAATCTTTGATTAACCCATTCCCGAATTCCCGTCTCCGTTACCTCTCTCATTCCGTTTCTTCCTCTCCGTACCCCCCAATTCCTCGGTCCATACCAGTTTTTAATCTTCGTAATTGGTGAAGATGTAATCTTCATTCCCCTTTGTGACACGGTGAAGGCCTGAATTAAGGGAACCAATCAGAAATGGATTCACATTGTCTTTACTCTCACACTGAAAAAAAAAGAATCTTAAAGCCGCCAAGAAGTATTTCTTCTTAAATCAAGAATTTCGCTGGTTAATATAAGCTACTATTTTGCTTAACCGAAGCATTATTTTTCTTGAATCAAGAAAAAGTCAGCTTAAAGCAAGATAAAAAAAATTCTTGGCGGCAAATTCAAGAATTATCATGCTTGATCCAAGCTACTTTTTTTTTCCAGTGCAGTATAAAGGGACTCTAGCTGAAGTTTGCAACAAGCCCATTGACATTTGCGTGCCACTTGACAACACGGGTAGCTAGCTGAGGGACTCGTGCTCGAAGCCATGTTCTCGACCCCGTCCCTGGTCGCGGTCCCCGGTCCCCGGTCCCAAGTCCAAAGTTGCTCCAACAGTAAACTTGGGTCCCAAGTCCTCGTCGGGAATTTATGGCCGTCGGCTCCCCGGCCGCGCGTCCGCATTCGTTCGCGGCCATTGTCTCGTCGCGCCTCCCCCCNGAGCCCCTGTGCTCCGCGCACCTTATCAATGAATCGTATACTTCTTCGGCCAATTGTCCTCGCTTCCACCCCGCTGTCTGCTCATCCGACCGGCTTTATCGCGGCAGCTTTCCTGCGCGGAGAACCACGCGTCACGCTAAATTCCGCGCGCTCCCTCGATAAATTCAAGTGATACTTCTGCGAAATGTATTGGAAAAATTGACCAGAATATTAAGTCGGTGCCCGGTCAAAGCATTGGTTTAAAATCCAAAAAGTACTGGCCTTTTGATGCATACTGAAATATACTTGTGTGGAAAATTGTGATAATTTTGGAATCGATTCGAAATGATAATTTGGAATTGGGATTATGCAAGAGAACGATAATGAAGATATGTTCGGAGACTTGAACGCAAGGATAGAAACTTGATCGCACTCAGAGGTGAGGCGCGGATGATCGATTATCGATGTTCCCCATTTGGAGCCGTGGTAAAGTATCGATTATCAAGGTGTTCGTCGCGAACACCTCATTTATCGATCCCTTCACACAGGTTTAAATGGAGGATCAGTTGATACATCGCAAAGCACACCACGCCACTGCTTTCGTCAAGTTGCTCTGCTTCTTGGTGCTAATACGATCAGTGATCATTTGATTTGCGTAAAAAAGATATGTTTGACTGGGGGCTGATAATTGAAATTGATAGACAGAGAAATGGACGAGGAAAACACTGAGGAGGGAGTCCCACTGGCCAACTGATCCGACCAACCGATGCAAATACCAAAGTTATGTGAAATACAGATGAATAGGCAATTAGTGTTTTTAGATCTGTTTGAATAAAACATAAAAGTCATATAATTAATGCTGTTCATATTCGAAGCATACATATGCATTTAGCTTAGTTCTACGTTTAATTTTGAGTTAATAGTTGTTGCTCGAATTCATCCATATGAACTTAATATTAAAAGAATTGATTCTACCAGTGGGAGCGGGTGGTTGCTATGAGCAAAGTTACTGTTTCTGTAAGACTGAAGAGAGAACACTTTAAAATTGCTCTGAAATTGGCAACGCTCACTCACAGTGTGTTTACCTTTGTCGAGTACCCGTTCTGCAAGTGTAGATGACTGCGTCATGCCAAGTCTTCTCCCCACCCATTGTCCACGCAACCACCGCACCGCGTCTTGGCATCGTGGCTTCGATGCTCCGCTGTCTGGTGCCTGATGCACGGTGCTCGGTGCGTGGTGCGAGTAATCTGCTCGTATCAATTATTCTTCCTCTACGTTTTACATACGAGAAACGAGCCGTGATGCCAGCCGCACGGAGGAGTTGACTCTCTCGCCCGGAGCTGAAGGGGTCGAAACCCCGCTCTAGAAGCACTATCTGGCGGCGCCGAGTACAAACTCCAACTTAGCTGACATCGGTCTCCAATCGGTCTTGTCCATCGCTTCGTCGAGCCCTGTCGCGTTTTGTCCCGAGACTTGCATCTTGCGTGCAGAAGAGATTTTTCTTGCATCGTCGTTAAGTGAACACCTTGGGATGAGCGGAGAAAGAAGGATCGAATTTTATCGGATTCAGCCTCAGGTGGGAGGTGGGGTGTGCCTAGGTTGTTAATTTACTTTACATACAGTGACCATCCTTGGTATATTCCTAATTATTACGGCTTGAAATGCCGTATTCTAATGTTGCGTGAGAAAGTCCGACCTTTTCTTCAGTCCTTGGTGAGCCTAAATGCTAGTCTCTGTCAGGATGGTCTCTCAATGAGCTGATAATCACGCAGACAGTTTGCTGAGGTTCTATCGAGAAAAAAATATACTGAGTGGGGAAAATATTTTTTACACATTAGCAAACTCTTATGGCCTTATTTCAGATTGAATCGACTTCAAGACGGAACTGGCCACAAGAGGAAAAGAAAAGTTATGGACATATAACTTTCAACGCGCGAAACTCGTTAAATATTATCTTTTGTAATTTCCATCAGACTGATTGGTAGAGATATTCAAAATCAGCCGAACTGCATTTCAAATTGTTTAATTTCCTTTCATGTTTTATTCTGTCTCCAGAAATATAAATAACGTAACCTCTTGAAACATTTTGTGAATTAGCATCGATTAGCAAAAATTATCTTACAAAAGTTCAAGTTGGAACGTTCTTTAATTTTCTATGAAAGAATAAATCACCGGAGGAAATTAGGCAACGTCAGATGTAGTTAGGCTGATTCTGGTGAAATTAGCTTCCTTATTGTGTAACTCTTAATGAACCAATCATTCTCTAATGAAAAAGTCATTTTTTCTCCACTACGGAATGAATATTCTTTTTATTTATCAGGAAGAACTGTAAAAAGATTTGATCGATTTCAATCATGGAATGTTGAATACTGTTTTGCGGTTTCGTTTTGCCAAACACTAAATGGAATCGTTTTATTTCCTCTGTTACAGGTACATTCACTCCAAGGAGAAGCCTTTCAAATGCCAGGAGTGCGGAAAGGGATTCTGCCAAGCGCGAACACTGGCCGTGCACCGGATCCTCCATCTTGAGGAGTCCCCGCACAAGTGCCCGGTCTGCAACCGGAGCTTCAACCAGCGCTCCAACCTCAAGACGCACTTGCTCACGCACACGGACCACAAGCCGCACGAGTGCAGCGCCTGCGGCAAAGTCTTCCGGCGCAACTGCGACCTGCGGCGCCACGCGCTGACCCACGCCGTGGGCGACGTCCCGCCGGACCTGCTCAACCGGGAGATCCCCGCCGGGAACGCCCCGGAGAACCTGCAGAAAGAAAAGGGCGCCCTCACGGCCAAAGCGCCCGAGGACTCCCGCAGCAGCTCGGCCGACCGGGAGCGCGAGAGGGCGCTCTTGCTCCACGAGTCCTACATGCACTATCGCAAACGATCTCCTTCGCCAGTTCCTCGGCGGCTCAAGTCCTCGTCCCCGCCGCCTCCCCTTCCGGCCCTCTTCCGCCGCCACTCGCCCTCGCCGGGCCCCGCCGAGTCGCGGGGGCGCCTCTCCCCAGCGCCGGCCCACCGCAACTCTTCTCCGCTGCCGCTCTGCAGGAGGAAGTCGCCTCTCATGATGGGCGCCTACCGCTGGCAGTCTCCCTCGCCGGTGCGCATCATGAAGAGCCTCCCTTCCCCGGCCGCCCACCTCTTCAAGCGCCAGGTCTCACCCTCGGGAATTCTCCCGCGGCGCCGCTCGCCCTCTCCTTCGCCGTCGCACTCTCCCTCGCCATCCTCCTCGCGGGCACCCGACCCCGGAGGATTCTCCTACTCCATGCGTCCTCCCGACCCGCCTCCCTCCCAGATCCAAGTACGACGTGATCTCCACGCGCCTGGGCCTTCGTCCACCGTCACGTACGAGGGCGCCCTAGATTTAGGTGTCATCAGGAAGAAACCGGAACCTGAGGTTAGCAAACCACCGAAAAAGGCGCTCACTCAATCGGAAAGGAGTTCGGACGAATGGTCAGAGCCGAGCGGAAGCCAAGCCAGTAGTAGGTGCAGTAGGAGCGATAGTAGCGGTAGCGGCAGCGGCAGCAGCAGCAGCGGCGGCGGCGGAAGGGCAGAGAGGGCGTCGCCCCCTCCTAGTGCACCGCCCGCCCCCGCCCCAGCCCCTCAGCCGAGACCCCCTGTCAAAAAGCAAGGGTTCAGTATCGAAGAGATCATGCGTCGTTAAACCATTGCCTTCCTTCCTGCCAAATTTAGCAACAAATTCTCTCATTTTTGTAATGATTTTTTAATAATTTATTTTAAGTTCGCCATACCTTTGCTACCATAAGAGTCAGAGTTGAGTACAGTTTGAGTGTATCGAGTTTCAACTACACGCTAAAAGACGGAAGTTACAGATATTAAGCGATTTAAATTTGAATTGAAGCCGTGTAAAAGAACCAGACTTAACCGAATGAAACCAAGATGCAGGAGGGTGGATTCGAGAAGAAAAGTTTTGACGTTACACTACTCTCGTGATAAGAAGCAAGTACGGTTGCTATTTTTACATTCAGAATATTTTTTTTAAAGGCGAATCTTTCTGAGGAGCAAATTAGAGACTTGTAAAGCTCAAAACTGTTCCCAACTCATTTACCCCAAATTAAGCTTGGTTCAATTCAAGTAATCTTGTTCCTTGGTTTACAATCAGCTATGAGGCGTTGATGACGACTTATAAATTCAACGCATACACTCTTATATGAATTCATTGCCGTGCTTCCGTTTTCTTGTTGTGTTGAAGTTTGAAGGTATTTTACCAAAATTGAAGTTTTTGGACCAATCTGCGACAACGCTTGTTCTCGGGCGAGAGACTCCAAGGTCTGATTGCGTAGGAGGATAGGAGGGGAGGGTGAAGCCACGGTAACCATCAATTAATTAGACTGCCCCAATTCCTCGAAATCTAGATCTGGAAGACCAGCTTCGGGACCTTAAAACGTACCCACACCAGTAACCATCAATGAAATGGGAGGCTAGCGTATGAATGAAGGTTAGGCATACAGCTGATGGAGATTGATCTCGTAACTCTCCTGCCTCTTGCAGCTCATCAGGGTATAATTTCGAGGAAATGTATAAGGAGAGGCTTGAAAATCTGATCTGATCTAATCAAAGTATCTTAATCTAAGAGATTGTTTAAGATTTTTCGTTCGCTTTGTTGTGAAGCTATTTTTTCTTCGCAACAAACTCTTCGTTGTATACGTGCGCTGTATCAGGGTCTTCGTTTTTTAATTTGTGAAATTCGTTGTCACAACTTCATCAGTTATTATTCCGCTTATATTCCTTTGTAAAATATGAAATGAAAAGATATCTTTGAAATTTTGAACCGTCGTGATCGTGCAATGGAGATTTTCCTCTGAAGGGCTAGATGGCCTTGCGTGGCAGAATATAGTTGCCCCAAAGTGGGATTTGGCATTATGATAATATTGTATCGTTGTGTTTTCGTTGGAACTATACCGTCCAGTTTTGTTTTAAAAACTTGATCATTATCATAAGTTTTCTTTTTTTGAAAGTCTATATTTTTGTTTTTGTTTACTTGTAAACTTCATGTTTTAAAGAGGCTGTATTTTAAAAATATGTAAGTATTTTTGTATATATGAAGTGTAAATGTGCAATTTTATGATGTAAATATTTTTGCCAAATTTTAACGGATGAGTGATATCCTTCTCTTAATGTATATCTCTAAGTAGTGTTAGAATAGGTAAAAATGAAGAAAATGAAATCCGCTAAGTAAACATTTTCTCAATGATAGGTGTCCTGAGTCGTTAAAATAGAAAAAAATAATATTGTAACAATATTTTCTTTGCAAAAAAATTCACTCGCGCAGGAATTAGTAATTTTTTTTACTGCTTCGGTGCTACCAATAATACGAATCTGTTTCCTTTATTGTGCGATGAAAAGAAGACGCAGTACTTTGTGAGCTTCTCTCGTAAAATATATTCATCGCCAAGACCTGCAAAATTGACGCTATGTATGCATCTAAATATGGAAAATACACATCGCACTACTCTCAGACTATATCGTGCAGAAAATTGTTCAATACGACAAAACGGATATTGATAAAAAAAAATGTTTCATTTCATTTCTGCAAGCTGATTGACACTGATTTGTCATCTGCCGGCAAAATTAAGAACATTTTCATTCCATTTTCCATTATTACATTATTAATTGTGGCTGAAAGAAAGACATATCAATTCCTTAGTTGAATGAGCAAGCTTGAAATATAATTTTGAAGAGCTTGAGGAAACACATGTGTGGTATATACTGTTAAAAATACTGGTATGGAATCCGAAGCACGTTTCTTTCTGGAGCATACTATGCCCTTAGAAAAATTGAGTGTTATAAATAAGGAATAAAAAATCTGCCCCCCAAGTGTAAATTTTACTCCCCAAAAAGAGTAGATTCCGCTCCACTTTCACTTCGGATTCCACGTTGATATTTCTTCAACAGTGTGACTAAGGCCGTAATAACTTTGGCACTGTTTCTAATGTTCACATGTTAATTTATCTCTAGTATCATGGCTAATTATTTCAAGAAACCTAAAACTTTTTTGCGATCAACAATCACCGCACTGGCTGCAAGAAACCAATTCTAAAATACAGTCCTGATCCACGACTGGAGGCAGTGTAAAACCGTAACTTTTTTGAGCAGTAAATTCATCCCGCGAATTCATCAGAGGAGGATGAGGAACTACCTATTCAAGTTCAAGTGCGTCTATTGTTTTGTTGAACCACACTCCGATAATTTGAGGTTGCCAGGCTTTTCTTAGCTGCCATCAAGTTTTCTTTCATGAGTAGATAAAACAAGGAGAAACGATTAAGTTCTAGACGCCGTTGGCTCTGAACGTAAGTTGAATCAGTGAGAACGAAAATACACCAACTCGCTAACTCGAAAATCCTCAATTTCTATTGAAGACAATTAATTTACACGAAGGTCATTAAAGTTGGCACATCTGTTCCAACTTGGACCTTTCAAGTGTCCATAAGTACTTGTTTTTCGCCAGAAAAAAACCTTTTTCTATACTAACTTCTCCACCTACTATGCAGTTTTGTGTGCGTCTTGAGTATTTTAATTTTTCCGAGTTGGTGTGTTTTCGTTCTCACCGATTCAGTTATCTTCAGCAAGTTTGATCAGATTCCTACAATTTTGTGTCTATAAGAGTACTGTCGCAAGTGTTGTTGATCTGGAAGAAAACAGGTTGAAAAAGTACATTCTTCATTTAAATTTAGCAACTTCGATTCATGGAGTGTTCCATCTCTGACAAAGGAGCAGTCGAAGACTATTCGCGATTCCGTTAAGGTAATTAAAGCCCGTGCCTCAGTTGTCTGAATATCGTTGGAAAAGGCAACCTGCTCACTCGACAGGACAAATCCCACGAGATTGCTTATACTTCGCTCGGTGACTCCTTTTTTCATCCTTTGCAACCGTATTTTAATTCCCTGGAAGCAATCCTCCCCCCCTCTCTCTCGGTTAGGCTTCTGCTCACCCGCTGTTTCGATCACGGACCACTTCATACAGATCAGCTTAAATCAAAAGCTAGATCGATCAGTTGGCCCATGGCCTTGTTCGTCATCCTCTTCTGTGAATCTGTTGCCAAGTTTGATGAAAAATCAGACTAACTCATAATATGTGTAAGTGATTACTCGGATACTTTTCGATAATTTATGAGGACCCATCAGTTTTTATCGATGGATTTGATCAATTTCGAGATACTTTGCACATCGACTGAAAGGTTTTCTTTACCGATTGTCTCCATTGAGTGGGCACATAGCCTTAATCTCTCATTTATTTGTGTTAGTTCTGATAAAATAATTTTAAACTTGAAGCAAATACGTAAGCAGATCAAGGAAAAAGAGTAGAAGATGAAATTTGTTCCGCAAATATAATCGGTTCATCAAGCGATAAGATAATCCAACGTAATATTGATTCACTAGTATATCGCCAGTAAATTATTCATTAAATAAGACGTTTTTGAGTACATAATTTTACTACTGTATTTTAATTACATTTTGAGTGTGATGAATGCAATCCCTGTAGATCTGCGTGCAGCTCAATTATGTTCTCGAACCCAACTTAAAATAATGAACCGTCTCCTCGAAAAGTTTTCTAAAAAAACTATGCCTAAAAGTATATGTAACAATGTTATCGAAGAATATAAACTTAAACTTTGCACTACCTTGGACTTTCTTAGAGTATTGGTCATATTTATTGTTTATTCAACAAAAGGTTCCCGCTCATTTATGACGATCTCTACACTTAAGGCGCGCCCAGTCTTCTAGGACGGCTTCAAAAAAGTTGATTTACTGTCTCCAAGCGTCAACTTTGGATTGAATTTCCACTCTATTTTCTAAAATCCGAATCTCTTAAACCTAATTCTCTAATATTTAAGATTTTGGAATTCATCTCCTCAATGTGTCCGACTTTTCAGACACTACAGATGTCGAACGTTAAATTTCTCAATTAACTCTCACTGTCATTACATTTTCCAAACAGCTGTTGATATGCTTTTTCCTGTTATTTATGGATACATTTCTTAGGTAGGATAGAAATATTTTTAAAAGTCAATAATCCTGCCATATTCTCACTGTGTTATAAGAAAAATACTTATATGTTTCTTTTTATGAATAAATTATTTTTAGAATTCAGTCGTCTGTATACTGTTTTCTCGCCACCCGCTGCCTTCCAAAAACCAGTATTTACTACATTTAAATATTGATATTTCATACACGAAAGATTCATTCGCATTTTGGCGTTAATTTACAGCCTGAAGAGCACAGGATTAGGCCACCGAAGCCTTTGCAAGTATGAAAAATACAGGATCAAAGAGGCACAAAGACGTCTTTTGTAAAACTGACATAATATCACCCGGAGATGGTACATTTTTTCAAGCAGCGTCCAAATGTTGGCAAAAATTGCATTTTTGAGGTACATAAAATTTATTCTCGCAATTTTTAAATGCTTTCAATTCATGCATTGAAACTGAGGAAATAAATTCACTCAAAGGTCTCAATTGGTAATTTTGGAAATTGCTTCATTTCAAGCTTTCCGATTTTTCTGTTGCATCAGCCGTATTTTAACTTTTATTTGTAGTTCAAAAGTATTACATAATATAAAAAGAAGTCTCAGCTTTATTACAATTCTCTGAGTTTTACAAAGAGTGTTTCTGTGTCTTTTTGATATGTAGTGCCTCAAGTGTAGATGGATGAGAAATGATAACACTCGGTTTTTTATTTTAATACGTTAATTAATATATATGAATATATCAGCAGTTATCAATAATGATAACGTTATTAAATTTATCATGGAATCAAGTTGAGGCTAGGAGACTATGATCTCTTCGCACTAAATGATTTAACGTGCTCTAAATTTATGCCTTAGTATTCTGTGTTTACGATAGTTAGAGAAAGTTAAACACACAATTTTCATTGAGACAGATCTTATACCCTAAGTTCACGAAGAATCAAAGTTTCTGTAAGGATTAAATTTGAAGCTTTTTGGAGCGAAGTTTAATTATTTTGACTCTTATTTCTATTTTTGTGGTTTAGAATGACAACGCAGATGATCAAAGAGAATTTTATTTCCCAAAAGACTCTTAATTTTTATTAAAAGTCAGTAGAGATTTGTTATTTGACCCCGTGTATTATTTTTACTTCATCATAAATCAATCGCCTCAAAGGTAAATTATTAGATATAAATTCAATGAGAAGCTTCAAAATAACATTTTCTAAGTTTTACCATCAGTCATTACCAGAATGCTTTTTCTCTCTTGTTTGGTCCCACATTTGAAGAGAGGAATATTTTACAGAGTAAAGTCTAAAAAGCTGCTTCTTCCTCCTTCGATGGATGGTAACGTGGAAATTTTATAGTGACATAATGTGATACATGAGGAAGAACCAGTTATGCTTTTCTTTCGATTCCTATTGCAATTTTTAACGATTCTTGCTCAAATTTAGCTAAAATAGAGATTTTCCAGTTTTTTTCCATCCAATTAAACTTTACGGGTGAAACATTCAAAGAAATGCTTCAATGCAAACTTCCGCTTACGACTCATCGATAACAGTGGCTAGGCGTGAATGAGCGAGTATCAATACTTCTCCATTTGAAGCTATGATGAAGAATACATTATAGAGGTGTTCGTTGCGAAAACCCTGTTTATCGGTCTTTTTCCATAGGTTTAAATGGCAGATCTATCGATGTATCACAAAGCACGCCACGCCACTGATCGATACTGACATAATAAAGAGGTTGATTTTAGAAAGCATAACGGTTAAACGATAATGCGCAAAAAGAGCGCGTTAGGGAGAAATATGAGATCATGCCGAGCGGACCCCATTTTTCTGCCGTTCCGACAGAAAAAATTAACCAACCAAAAAGGAGGCAAAAGCCACGACCTATTTAAAAAAGTACGGGAGGAATTACTAAGAATGGGAGTTGTAGAGGGAGAAAACATGTAATTTGACACTTTTGAGTGGTGAAATCCTCTCATCGGAGTCTATATCTCGACAAAAGGGAGCATCGCAAATGATCAGAAATATTCCTCAATGTGCGCCACCAATCTTTACGGTAAAGATGCAAACTACATGCACTGGCCTGTGAAGTATCAATATTGTATCATGTTACCACCTTCTTTAAACCGCTTAGCGTAAGATTGTCAAATTGGTGAAAAAGGGGTTTTTTTTCCGTCGGAATCGTGTTTAGGAGGAGTTTTGCCACACAATGAAACAGCAATACGGGAGAATTTAAGGGTAGCAGGTTACTTAAGGCTTATGTTCAGTTATTCGATCGATTTGTCAATAATTGTGAATGTATGAAAAAACCGATAGAACTCAATGGAGTTTGGAGAGAGGAGTGCCTAAAAATGTCTATCGATCGAAATTTGGCCATTTTCATTGACTCTCTCAAGTGTGAAGTGTGACAACCTATATAATCACCATATGTGCAAATCAGGAACAGACTGATTCAGATGAAACTAATTCTAGTTTGTCGTAGGATCAATAGTAGAGGTGGAAAGTAATGCAACAGAGCATAATAGACCGTCGTCAGGCGACAAAACTCGAAAGATGGAGTAAGAAAATCAACTGAATCGGTCAAATAGCAGCGAAATGACAGCACAAAGATTAGTGTCAAAAGTCCTGCAAGAGGGAGAACAACATAGAAAAAAAAAAACATACATGAGGCTTCGTAATTGGAGGTCAAGTATTTTAATGATCTTATCAAAATACCTGAACAAAAGGCGGACGGGATCATGGAATGCATAGTTAATAATTGGACATGTTCAGTAAAACGTTCTAAACACTAGTGATGGAGATAGGTCATAGATGTTTTTTACTGGGAGTAGTTCGATTGCACTTAAAATATTTTCGATTCGTCCTTTTTCCTGGAAAAATACATGTCTCCAATTCTTCTGCAGGCTGCTCTTCTGAAAGGATTATATGCGGTGCGCGAGTGCGGAGCGATGTAAGTATATTTTATGTCTCTAAGATGACAGCTAAAGGTAAGTAAACCTCTAAATTTTTAACGTAAAATTCTTTTGAAAACAACCTGATGACTGAGCGTCTTTTCATCAGACTGGAATAAATACCTTTCAAGCCTCAGACTGTATACATATTCGAGGTTAGGAGTATATGATACCTTCCCTCAGGTTCGGCATACAAGCCAAACAGCAAAGCACTCAGATCTTGTTTCCGACTGTGATAACAACGGTTGATGCATAGATCAATAACTTTCTTTCTTGATATTTTTTTCTCTTATTTTTTCAATTTCACTTTTTTTCCATTTTTCGTTGAAGGTCAAGTTCTTAAATGATGACTTTCATTTTAAAATATTAACAGCCAACTTGTTTTCATGAAAAGGAAATATTCGTAGAATGAACACTCCTTATGAATGGGTCGCGGAAAATAGTATCTAAAGCTATTGAGTTATGCAATACCTTCTTTTTTAATACGCAAACAAATATTAATGTGCCTATTTGCTTAAACTGGTATTTTTAAAAAACATATTTTCTCAATAATTAAATCGTGACGTGCGAAAACCGTCAATGTCCATTTTTCCAGTCTTTCATGTTTGGGTTGATAATAATTTCCAGAGATAGATCTAACCAAGGAAGAGCCGTTAGTGCTTGGTTGTCTTAATCCCAAAACGAGTCCTTGCACCAATTTCATGATTGTATCAATTCTTGAAAATTGATGTTAATACAAAAAAAAAAAAAAAAAAAAAAAAAAAAAAAAAAAAAAAATTAGATGCAGAAAAATAGAAATGCGTATAATGTAGTAGACTGTAGTGGAGTTTCAGTCCGTTCTGAGACCGTCATGTCAAAATTGTGAAGTTTCTCACATTGATTAAAAAAAGGTACAATCTCGCGGTATCCCTATGAAATTTGAAGGTAGCCCAAAGATCAGTCAAATTGCGTCGTCTCAAATGCATGGAAGGCTGTGTGAAACAAGCGGTCTCTTATACTTTATCCAATTAAGGGGCTTGAAGGACAAAGTGCATGAGTGCAGTTTTTGCTATTTTGAGATATACGTGTTTAAAGTTTCGAAATTACATGGAACTTTATAACGGAAAGAAAGTTAACATTGACTTTTTAATGCAAAAAAATTAAAATTTGGGCGCGAATTTTTTGCAAAATATGCATTAAGATTAGTTTTACTTGAAAACCATTTTTTTTCAAATTCTGCACGAATACGCCTTGTCCTCTAATTCCCTCAATGAGTTAGTTGCGCTGGTCACAGAATCGTGTTTTGGTGCTTGATTCTTGTAGATAAGCTAATAATAATAAGATCTGTTTAAACCGCAACTTTCCACGTTCAATATTAGCCGAGATATTGTCCTTTGAGAAGTCGGGTTTATGACCTCATCCACCGCGGTAGTAACACCCTTGGTTTCTTCCACTTTCCTTTCATCCGAGTTTCAGGTTCAGTAACCAGTACTTATGTGTGTTTCCCTGACTGATGAAAGCAAGGTGGAAGAAACCGAGGGTATGTCACTACCGCGGTGGATGACGTCAAAAACCCGATTTTTCAGAGGACGATATCTCGGTTAATATGGTTTGGACAGATTTAATTATTTTTAGCTAATCTACAAGAATCAAGCATGAAAACACGATTCTATGACCAGCGCATTCTGAACCAGAGACAAGAGACCCTCCACTAGTATCTTGGCTGGTGGAAGCTTTTACTTTCGGGACTTCAGCATTCTACTGTTGACTTACCTACATGGTTGATGTTCAACAACGTGTTGGCAGTTTCGTTTTGCAAACAAGCCGAAAATGGCCGACGTTTGGGAAAGTCGTTTGGCTCATGACGTCATCCGAAGCTCATCATCGACCATGTAGGTAAGTCAACAGCCGAAAATAGGGTGATGACTGTTGCTCCCTAATAATTGTCCATAAGGAATTGTTGAAACCCCGAAAGTAAAAGCTTCCACCTGTCGCTAGGAGGCCAGTGGAGGGTCTCTTGTCTCTGTTCTCAACTGACGCAACTGACGCATTCTCAAGCTCGCTGGAAGTTGAGAGGTGAGCATAGAGGAAGAGGCCCTCTCCGCTTGTCGTTGGTTTCGAAGGAGCCAATAGAGAGTATCGGCACGGGCTGTAGTTGCCGACTTTCTGCGCGTAGAGGAGCGAACTGGTTGGGCTACCAGGAGCGGG